TTGAATGGCGATTCATTGTTCAATTATCACCATGGATGGGAGGGGTGTATGAACGCCTCGTCCAGTCGGTCAAATGAATGCTACGGAAATCCCTTGGTAAGAGAATTCTCAAGGCTGAGGAACTTGTCACACTGTTAACGGAAGTAGAGGGAATTCTCAATAGCAGACCTCTAACGTATGTGGGTGAGGATTTCAATGGATTTATTCTCACACCAGCGCATTTCTTGTGTCTTAACAACAATCTGACACTGCCGGGTGAGCAGTTAGACACCAATGATCCGGATTTCTGCGTGAAAGCCTCTGATGATTTGCTTCTACAGAAGTTCAATGTGTGTCAACAGCAGCTGAATCGCTTCTGACAGTTGTGGCAGGATGAGTACCTAGCATTGCTCAGAAAGTGTGGCGATTACCAACTGCGACAAGGCGATTACCAACTGCGACAAGGCGATTACCAACTGCGACAAGGACGTATTCGTGCCACTGTCGGAGGAGCCAGCCGTTGGCGCAGTAGTCCTCATCCACGGGGAAACACTGCCACGAGTTAGCTGGCCAATCGGCCGCATCGTGAAGCTATACGAATCCTCAGATGGTGAGACAAGATCAGCCAGCATTCAACTTCCCACTGGTAGGACAGTCAGACGGTCACTGTGTCATATTTACCCGCTGGAATGTCCGTCAACACCAGCACATGTGAACAGTGAACCCAAGCCAGTCTCAGCAACTGAGAGCGCAGCAAGTAGTGACAACACCAGCGCGACTCCTGTAGCTTCACGATGTGGCCGATTGGCCAGCTAATTCCTTCAAACCCACCTACCCCTAAACGAAAACTTTTCGTTTTGAAAATACTATTGGTAACCTTGGACGGCCCCTAATGAATTTCAAGGCTGACAGTATTAAATTCGGAGCTATTTACATTGCATGTTTCTTTCTTGACATTCATCTCATTGTGTAACTAAATATGCTTATCAATCCTCATTTCTTCTCGCTGGCCGGAATGTCGCTAACGCGATCGTAATTTCCGTAATGATCACTTAGACATAATTTTGTAGTGCTAGAGCCTAGTTTTTCTGACTTTGCCGCTTGCCTCCCATATTCCGAATGGCTATAGGCATGCGCAGCATGGTACGCACGCATATTAGGCATGCGCGATCTTTGCCCGTATAAATTAGGCATGCGCGCTCCTAATCAGTCTCTTTTTCTGATCACCAAGATTGACCTCATGTTCTCATGGTTCTTGTGTGGATCCAAGTTTGCAGGCAGCTCGCCTTTTAGAGCAAGATGTCATGAGTGGATTGTTTGTAGTGCAAGTGGCATGAGTATTATTATATCAGGGTAGTCGCACGGCGACACCACGTTGACTGACAGGTGAATGAGTAGAGGGTTAAGCCACACGTTTTTATTTCTATGTTTCTCGTCACCCGAAAATCTAAAAGCGTATGCGAGAGGTGGAAAAAAATGACCGAAAAATAAAAAAGGTTACAAGACCTTTGGTCATACTAAAATCGACCAAAATAGCATCCAAAGTTAGCCTACATGTACATCATGTACGTGGTAGGAGCTTCTGTGCACGTGCAGCTAGATCCCACAACAAAAACTGCCGACCGCGTATCATCATGATCATGTGTCGCTCAGGCCAGGCCAGGGTGCATGCACATGTACATGTGCTGGTCCCCACAGCTACAGTGCAGCACAGTTTTTCTTTCTTTCTTCCAGACTCCTGAATCGTATTGCGCGGGTGACGAGAAACATAGACATAAAAAACGTGCGGCCTTATAGGTCGGTCATACAGCTGACTATGCTCACTAGTTAGCTAGTCACTCGGAGCTCCGCTGATCACAAACACACATGGCTCGCTGTGCGCAGACTGGGTACTACAGGTCGTCCCCCGTTAATTCGAGTCCGGTTAGTACATAAACCCCGTTAGTACCTAAGAAATCTCAAGTCCCGGACGAAACGTGATCACTTCCTTACAAATTTTGTCGGTTAGTACATAATTCGTTAGTACATAAACCCTGTTAGTACATAACATTTCTCCGTACCCGCATGCCACCTACCTCAATAGTACATAATTTTGTTGGTCCTTTGGCCTTCCAATGGAGGCACATCGTGTTCTCAGAGCGCACATCACAAACCGACAAAGCTCTGTTTTTTCCGAGTGACTATACAGGCGCGGCTGGGCATGGATCATGTAAACTGTAGAATCTTCGCTGACTGTGACCGTTATAACATACTTTTTATGTTATATCGAGGGAATCAAGAATATCTCACTCCCTAGTCATGGTAGCAAGAAACACTCAGAAAAGTCGAAAAAAGTGAAAAATTCTGGTACACAAGCAAGTTATGTACACTTCCATTTAGTACATAAACCCCGTTAATACATAACATTTGTCAAGTCCTAGAGATTATGTATTAACGAGGGATGACCTGTACCATGCTAGCGAATGTCTGCACAATGCAGCGGACATACAAAGAGCGAGAAGCTTAGCAGCAGGACAAGTATCTTACCGTAAGGACGACACAGCCCTCATCGTACCCTAGTGCAAAGCAGTTGGATCCACGACAATAAGCCATGCACCACACACGTTCCAGGCCGTAGTTCAGAGTGGTCTCCAGGCGATACGTACTGGAATTCCAGACACGCACGCTATCATCCTCAGAGCCAGTAATGATAATAGGCAGTTCAGGATGGAAAGCCACAGTTGACACATTCTGTGCATGACCTTCCAGCGTTTGAACACAGGTTTTGTTCTGACAAGAGAGAAGAAACACCCGCCCACACACACCCGCACACACATACAGGTATTGCAATGGAGGATACGGAGATAAACAACAACTACAGCATAAGACAATGCTTGAGTATGGGTGAGAGCTTACCAATAGGCAATACAACTCTTACTGTTGACCCGTATGAAGGGAACATGATTGCGATTGCTCAGAGAATACAGAAGGCCACATCACAAAAATGTGTGTTTCAATGTATTGATGTAGTCTTCAGCTGGCTTCAGGTTTAGACAGTAAACTTGTACGGAGAAGCTACAAGGGTTGCCAAGTACATGTACAATTGCTGTTTGATGATCGCTGCTCGGTGTGAAACTTGCAGTTACAAAAAGAGCTCCATTATATTACATGTATTCTGTACATGCAGTACATGGACATGTCCAGCTGTAGTTGATATGTACATGCACATGTCCAGCTGTAGTTGATATTAAATTTTAGGAGCATAGTGTGAATTGAATATGGCTATACTGTGCTAGAAAAAGCAACATACCTGATAGTCCCAGATCTTGACCAACCTAGTGCCAGCATACACACAAGCATCAACATGCACAAAGTACATTGAGAGGAAGATAACAATACAGTGCGGGCATGCCAGGATCGAATATGTACACGTCGATACTCACATGACCAGGCCAGAAGACACGACATATACATGTATATGCATGTCTTCTTTGCTGGTAGTTTGAGCTTGGATTGTATTCATTTCCTTCTATTCAAAAGTTCAAAACATTAAAGAAAATTGTGGGAAATTCCCAAGGGACCACCATACTGCACAATGCACCAAGTTTCAGCACACTAGCTACATCCCTCGTAAGTATGGTGCCAAACGAAGAAAAAAAATGGTTTCGCTGCCAACCACGAACACTCTTCCAATGACAAATTACTGTATATTAGGTGCGGCCTCATTTCCTCTGTACTGTGCTGATGTACTGTGCTGATGTACTGTGCTGATGTACTGTGCTGATGTACTGTGCTGATGTACTGTGCTGATGTACTGTGCTGATGAGTCCACGAAGGACGAAACAGTTCTGTCCGCAGATTGTGTATAAAAGTACATAAAATGCTATGAGTAGATGAGTATATGCTCAGGCCACTCAGACCACTCAAGTATTATAATCATGGACTGCGCTGAAACTCATCCCATTCAAAGCACCTCTACAATGTGCACACATACACACACACACACACGCACGCACACACACACACACACACGCATGCGCACGCACACACACACACACTGTTATTCTTCTTACTTGTCATCAGCGCCAGACACAAGGTATGGCTTATCACCACCTTGGAAGTAGTCCAGACAGTTGATGCCCTGCATACAGGAACAATACGCAAATCGGACAGTGACGTATCAACACATAGGCTGACTGCCGGTTTTCAAAAGCCTGGTTCATGCTTCCCTTTAATAGACACCCTTAGCAAACAACGTTACGTTGTAACAGTTACCGTAAGGCCACGCGTTTTTATTTCTATGTTTCTCGTCACCCGCGCGCATACGATTCAGGAGTCTGGAAGAAAAAAAGAAAAAAACTGTGCTGCACTGACTTTGCATGTGGGGACCAGCACACTCAAGCACATGTAATAATGTGGCCTGGCCTGTGCGACACATGATGCGAGGTCGGCATTTGTTGTGCGCAATCTAGCTGCACATGCACAGATTGTGACAGAAGCTCCTATCACATACTAGTTGCTAACTACGGATGCTATTTTGCATTGTGTATTGGTGGATTTTAGTGTGAACAAAGGTCTAATCAACTTTTTTATTCTTCGGTCATTTCTTATTTTTTCCACCTCTCGCATACGTTTTTAGATTTTCAGGTGACGAGAAACATAGAAATAAAAACGTGTGGCCTAAGGGGGAAAATACCGTGATTTGGGCTCGACCTTTAGCAAGATGCACGCTATTTTTAATACGTTGTTGCCACGAGAATAGCTTTTACTTCGGGCGGTACAACCATTTTTGTCACCATATACGCGATACAAGGTGAAATGCGTACGGACTATGCAATATTTGGCCAAAAAACGTACCGTTGGTCACAACGATAAATCAGCCCCCATAACGTTTTTACGCTGCAGCTTCAACGCTATTCGGGTGATCAAGGTACGAGTACCGTAAAAAATAGCGTTACCGTTGTTTGCTAAGGGTGTCTAATACCAAGAGTACATGACCCCCCCCCCCCCCAGAGTGTGCAACGTCTGATCCAGCTCTGCATAGGGTCTTGGTCGAGCGTAATCGGATCTTTGCGTCATAATACCGTACACATCTGAGGGGTACCCGGGGAGTCGCGGGTACTCTCGGATCAAAAACAACGGTGCCCTGCCTCGAGACCGGCCTTGCGCTGGTGGGGAGTGTACGCATGACATCAGAAGATCCGATTCCGCTCGACCAAGACCCTATGCAGAGCTGGATCAGGCGTTGCACACTCTGAGGGGTTATGTACTCTTGCTAATACTGACAAGCTGAAACTTTGGGTGCCGGTAGACAGCCTAATGAGGAAGGTACTTCGCTTAGTTGGCCAGTGCAGAGCTGTGCACAACATCGACAAATTGCCAATTGTTGATCGTCAAAGTTCGCAAATGATCGATCCATGTGCTGCTCGAAAAATGGGAAAATTTGAATTCGTGAGCAGGAGATGTGAATGACGATTCCCACAACGTCCGAATTTTTTTTAATATTTCGAATTTCCAGACGATGACAGTTGTCCTTTCCTTTCGACCACGGTACTGTTTTGTGGTGATCAACAGCCGATGGCGGAAAGTATGGAGAGCGAGGAGAGATGTCACTTCTCTGCGGTTGACGTCACAGTATAAGAATTAACAGAGAAGTAGTGTTCTCTGTCCACCCGGGAACGGGTACGAGGGAGCACGGTGTGGGATAAAAGGAGATGACGAGTGCAGGGTCGGCCTCTTTTGTCTTTGTGCGGAGAGTTGAGTGAGAGTTGTGAAATTCATTTTGAAAGTTGTATTGGTTTGTGAGAAGAATGTCGAGGTCGAGAAGTGGGTCGCTGAGTGGTAGTGGTAGTGAGAGTGAAGGGTATGAGGAGGAGAGTAGGAGGATGAGAGAGATGGCTGTGAGATTGGAGACGTTGGAGAGGAAGTTGGAGAAGTCGGAGAGTCGTAAGAGGAAAAGAGAGGATAGGAGTGGCAGTGACTCTGAGAGAGTCAGGGAGGAGCAGGAGCAGGAGAAGTGGCAGGAGTAGAAGTAGCAAGAGGCGAAACAGCAAGAAGAGCAAGAGGAGCAAGGAGAGTAAGCAGATGAAGAGGGAGAGAGGACGAGAGGATGGCGGCGGCGAAAAAGAGAATTTGGAAGCCCAAGGCCCACGAGGAGCAGTTTTGTGTGATCAGCAAGGCATTGGAGCCTCTAGCCAAGGCAAGACAGAAGGCGGAGCGTCGAGGCGAAAAAGACATCGCCAGGAATATTGAAGAAGGCGAGAGCGTCCTCCAGCGGCGCATCAAGCTATTACTGTTCGCGAAGGGTGGTCGGCCGCGAACATATACGACGGGAAGATGGAGTGCGGGTCAGATACGGACGATGAACGGAGGATCTTTGTGCTGTGGTGGCCCCCACTGGCAATGTTCATGTGTTCAATAGTGGTGTACACGTATGAGTGAGTGTGCGGATGTGTGCGCAACGAGTGAGTGCAGGGTGGACAGAGAATAGCACTGAGGATGAGGACTACGCTAATCTCTAACACAGCAGTACCTTTGTGGTGTTATGCCAGCCAACACCACGCGGGAATGAAGAGAACACAGGTACATTTGTTTATGTTTTCTACTTTGAAGTCCGTAAACAAACAGACAAACCCTATCCGCCCTCTTATTTTCAACTGTTGCTGCAGCTCGTATATCTTGGGAGTGATGTCTTTGCCATTGCTGCCCTGGCGCTGAGGATCGGCATCCTGTCACCACCGTTACTTGGCCTAAGATCGTCAAGGCAACAGCATCAAGGCAAGACGCAACATGGGACTTTCTCGTTGAAGAAGAGTGCGCGGACGAGACAGCCAAGCCTCGAGGATTTGCACATGCACAATGCTACAGCAAATACACACACAGAAAAGTTCTTGCTCGAGTTTCAGCCAAAAGCAGGCAAAGCTCAGACTGATTTTTGAATGGTCTGTAGTGACATTAGCCAATGATCCCTCCCATCAGCTCAGGCATGACCACAGTCTACTAAACTAGCAATGGAGCATGGAATTATAATATCACACTGTAATACAATAGGAAAAAAAGACTTACCAGTGTATGACCTTCCAGGGTGAAATTTGGAACAGGCTGGCCAATCTGCCACACCTACAGCAGGGAGAGATAATGCAAAGCATGCACAGTAAGGTGACTAGAAATGAAGTTCTCCGCAGCAGATACGGTGCTACTTGTACCAATACAGCAGCAAAGAAAGCGAATTGAGAGTAGGTGGGTAAGGAAATTTTACATACCTTGATCTTGCAGTCAAGCGATGCGCTGGCAAAGATGTTATTTTCTTTTGGGTTGAACACGACTTGCATGACAAAGTGTGTGTGTCCCTCAAACACCTAGCAGTGGCAAGAAGCAGAGAAGCACATTAAGAAAGTTAAAAGTAGAAATCCAGAATTCATAATTCACAACGGATGCCACTGCTGCTGTCGGTATTGCTGGGTATACCCTGGGTGGTGCTATGATGGTTTACTGTGAAATATGGTAGAAAAACCATGTCATCATGTCATCATGTCATTGTGGTCCTAACTAACACATATCGTTGTTCAGTCACCGTGTTGGTAAAACGTTTCCAGTAACAATCACTAACAAGCTACCGGTATGCCACGCAGACATTCTTTCCACACTTTACAGTGGAACCTCGCCTTCCAACCACCCCCATCAATCCAACCACTGCTCAGTCCCGAATTTACCTCCATAAGCGCGCATACAGTAAAGTCATTTTCAGAAATCAGACCAGTTGTCCGGTCCGAAAGACGGCTGGAATTCCAAAGTTCTATTGCATTAGCCTATTTGGTATCAGTTGCATAACAACAGACATAAGAGTAAGCTGTGCAATTATTATTGGTATAATTATAGTGTAGCATTGTGAGTTTTTCAAGTGTCAGCAATTGCCAGGACGCACAAACTACAAGTTTGCTAGCAGCCAAGTTCTTCCATGGCCACCATCAAAGAGAAAGTGAGAAAAAGCTGGCAAGCCACAGGGGAGAACTTCATTAGCTTGGCAAGATGGGCTGTCTAGCACAATTGTGAGCCTATCTGCAGCCTTTGGTCAATCCTTAAAGAAAAATCAATCAATCAATCTGAAGTGCCTGAATCAATCTGAAGTGCCTGAGGAGCCATGACCTTAATCACACAGAACACTCACCTGTGTGCATTGCCATTTCTTGTCCCAGTCCCATAGCTTGATCAGTGAGTCATCTGAGCAAACAAGTCAACACCAACAAGCATTGCAGCTAAGTAAGTTACCACTACAGATGAAATCCTCACGATTCCAACCCCAAATTGCCCGTGAAACGCTTCTAATTATCGGACATTCAACTTATCCAAACAAGGGTACGCACAACACAGTACTGAACTGATCAGCACAGTGGGCAGCAATCTTGAATTACACCTTGCTAACTTCGAATTATCAGCAAGAATCCCAAACATTTGTGATGCATTGTGGATGTCTTTGGACTACAAAATAGGCGTGCATGAACAGTTCGAGGTTTTCCCACCGATATGACATTGTACTGTAAAGTGAGAAACTTTCAAAAGAGATTAAATTTCGCTATTTCACGACCATCACACATTCGCGAACATAAATCGCCGCGAACTGCTCTGTACATTGACTGTAGACAGTACAAGATCCAACTGAACAGATCAAATCGCGGAAGGTTCTCACCGTGAACCAGCGCAATTCTTGAAAACGCAAAATTTGCGCGCCGCGAAAGTTTATCGCTTTACAGTATACTAGTCTAAAGAACATTTGTATATGGGCAATGGGACCCAAATTTAGGGGAGAAAAAGGTGGAGAACAATAATTTGTGCACGAAATGTACACAAAAACAGTGAATTGCCGGCACAGCAGGCCTTTGGGGCAGAACTGGCTGAAACTACAATGTATTCAACAGTAAAGAAGGACAGGGGCACCTCTGCCTCCACACCAGTATTGAACATAAGTTCATGGCATTTCGGGTGATTATTCCACCCTTCCATATCTGTTTGGGTGCAAAGCAAGCCCGCATGTTGTCCCCTGATTCAGTTTTTGAACAGGATCACAAGGGCAGCGCCGCGGAGAAAACATATGCAAAGGGTCTAGTATCCATAGTCACATAACTTGCTCCTGGTTGAGCAGCCACATCAACGCAACACATGTACAGTGTACAATGTATGTGTGGAACGTCTTATCAAGTGACTAAACAACAAGTGCGCGTAAGTTGACATGCATGCACGCACGCACAAGTACACACACGTACGCACACAAGTGCATGCACGTGCACGTACACACACGTACGTACACACACACGCACACACACACACATACATACACACACACACACATGTGTGCACGGACACGCTTCGAACGTGCAGACTTAACAAGAAAAAAGCTTAAACAGACACCAAAATGCGTGCAGTCACTGCGGGAGGTAGGTCTCACTCCCTCACCACTGCTAGATAGGAGGTATGGCTGGCTTGGGTGCACAGCAATGGAGCGAATGTAGTCCGTGTGCGCTTCAAATGAATGAACCTGCAGAAATGTTAAGTCAACAGTGGCAATAAGCCATTTAACGTCAAGGCAAATCTGCTCACAGCGGTTACTCCTGATATCCTCTACGCCTATCTCATTCACAGTATAACATGCATGGCAGCATAACTACAGTTGCAGCCAAAGAAATCAGACCCGTGTGAAGAAAGCAGCGCCAAAGCTCATGCAACCCCTGCGGCCCTCAGATGGGTTTTGTACTGCGCATGACGTAATGCAAACGCGGCGCTACTTTCAACTTTCTTGGCCCACGACTGTACATGCTGGAAAGCTGGTCACTTCTTAGAGAGGAGAACTAACATGTTTCAGGATAAAACCAAGTGTGTTGGAATAACAACCGGATAGCCCGGTCAGCGAAATGCAGATCTGATCTGCCAAGACAATGGCAACACCTACAATACTTCAAGCACCGGTAGTGGTATCTGCTGTTGCCGTCACTCACCTTGTCCAGTGTGTTGTAGTTGAAAACACAGATGCACATGTCATCCTAAAACACAAACCCAGACAGGAGAAACACACAGATGAGGTCAATACTAGTAGTAATACCTGGTACATGTAGTCAAGTAGCGTAAATCAACGGCAGCACTCACCTACATGCAGCACTCACCTACGTGCTGCACTCACCTACGTGCTGCACTCACCTACGTGCTGCACTCACCTACGTGCTGCACTCACCTACATGCAGCACTCACCTACATGCAGCACTCACCTACATGCAGCACTCACCTACGTGCAGCACTCACCTACGTGCAGCACTCACCTACGTGCTGCACTCACCTACGTGCTGCATGTAGCTGAACTGCACTACTATTGGGCAATCCTTGCATGCAATAGGACATTCAAGGAACTACATGATTGTACAGTCAGATCTCGCTTATCCGGTCCTCTTTTATCCGGATCCCTCGCCATCCGGAAGAAAATAGCTGGTTACATATTTACAGCATATGCCATGCATCCAGCATAACTGGTGTTCGGTTATCTGGTTCCCTCGCCTATCCGGATATTTTTGTGGAAAACGGATGTGTGCGGTAATGACTGTATTATTATTGAAGAATTTGAAAACAGATGGGGTAAGCTCAATGGCACAATTGTACTAGTATCTAAAGAAATCATGGTTTGCATGGGACCCAATCACACTGAGAGCTTTCAACATCTGTAGGAGCACCACCACCCTAAAGGATCAAGGTGAACGTACAGCCCTGAACTGGTGACAATCAATAGATATCAGACCCAACACAAAAGTGGTCAGAGAACGCAAACTCCTTTTGCAGCATCCACAAGGCAGGAAGGCATAGTGAAATGGCCTAAGACCGTGAGTCTGGGATAGAGTTGTATCTAGAGGTCTATAGAGAGTTCACTTACCGAACCAGTCACGACCCATGACTTCCGAGCAACAAACTTTGCCGCACGCACTGCACAGAAGGGATAAAACAACGCTGGCCATGTTTAAAAACATTATACTGACAAGCATACTCAAAACTAAACTCAGATTCACATAAAATTTACATAGGTTTGTAAACGATTTCTCCTCTGTCTCTCTCCCCACACATGCATGCATGTATCCACACACACACACACACACACCCAAGCGCGCATGCACGCATGCATATACACATATGTACATACACACACACATACACACACATACCCCGGTACACACACATACACACACATACACCGGTACATACACATACACACATTCACCTATGCTTGGAGGCTATCAGCAGCTACATCAACAAACTTTACCTGGCAGATTAGTTACTTCAAACTGCTTCACCAGTATCTGTAGCAAGCCAACATCATCCAAATATCATCATGACACAGTAATATTTGACACTGGCTGCTTCAAGTTTTAAAGTCACTGGGTGCTCCAGGTAGGCTACTGGGGGATATTTAGACTCTGGCAACAGTGGTAAGCCCACCCAGTTTTTAACCCTTTAACTACATGTACCAATCTAAATTTCCAAGCGAAGGAAAGCGCAGTATTTTGTACCTCGCTTCGGGCCAAACTTTAGTCACCAGGGGCGGATCCAGACCCCAAAGCTGAGGGGTGCGAGGATGAAACTTACATATTTTCTTTTGCAGTAGTAAACCAAAGACATAGTATGTTATGTGTGTTACTGTATAATATCATAATTACACATAGCACCAAGATGAGTAGTATGATTAGTTACACATTGAATGTCAAAATTTACAAGTAATTTACGACTGTTACCGGTATGATTCTCAGTCAGACACAGATTATGCTATGTACATGCTATATACACAATGTCAACTCTAGTCAGAATTCAGGGCGGCTGTTCAGTTCCTCACTCCGCATCCTGGAGAATGTTGGTCATCCTCATCTTCCGTGGGTGCTTGAGGGCGAACATGTCGACGATGTCAGTGACATCAACAGCCAAGTCGTAGCGGATGTGGAGTAGAGCTAGCCCGGTTAGTCTACTCTGTCCCATTGTACTCCTGAGGTAGGTCTTAAGGAGACGCAGGGCCGACACGCTTCGCTCACACTCGCAAGACGTGATCGGCATCACAGCTAGAATGGCTAGTGTGGCGAAGATGTTGGGGAAAGTGTGCTTGCAACACTGTTGGAGTGCGGCTTGAACAGTGGAGGGCAGAGAGTCTTCACCCACGCGGCTCCACTTCACCCACCAGTTGTCGAGCTCGGACGTAATAGATGAAGGTGCTGGCATGTCTTCGCTGTACTGGTCGATGAAGCGTTTCAGGGAGGCCTTCCAATCTGTTGTCTTCTTCATGACAGCTGGGACTGCCACAAGACCAGACGCTGCTGCGCTCTGGGCATCGGAGAAGCGAGCGTGGAGTTCTTGAAGAAGGCAATCAAGTAAAGGCGTGGTGATGGTGATGCGGAAGTGGTCCTCTGCTGATGCACCTGGTACGGTAGGGTTGGCCCGATGGACTGATCTCCCACATGCGCGAGGTGCCTTCAACTCGATGCCAGCATCATCAGCAACCTTCTGCACACCTTCGTACCACTCCTTGTGCTTCTCTTCTACTTTGGTGCGCAGCATTTCCAAAGTGTCGTCTGTCGATCGTTGTCCTGACGTCCTGATCACGTGATTGCACACAAATCATCCGCGGATCCGCGCAGCGAGCCTGGGCCTGGCCTGACCTTTTTTTTTTTTTTTTTTTTTTTGGAAAAATCCTGACGGGTTCATTTGCACCCTTCGCACCCCCCTGGATCCGCCCCTGGTCACGGTCAATGAACAGTGGCCGAATGAGCCAAACTTTAGTCACGGTCAATGAACAGTGGCCGAATGAGCCAAACTTTAGTCACGGTCAATGAACAGTGGCCGAATGAGCCAAACTTTAGTCACGGTCAATGAACAGTGGCCGAATGAGCCCAACTTTAGTCACGGTCGATGAACAGTGGCCGAATGAGCCAAACTTTAGTCACGGTCAATGAACAGGTCAATGAACAGGTCAATGAACAGGTCAATGAACAGGTCAATGAACAGGTCAATGAAGAGTGGCCGAATGAGTACTAGTAGATGAAAATGGACAGTGGGCGAATAAGTAGACAACCACATTTTATCAAAGGTGAATCTTTTTCATATAGCTGGGTGTATTGCTGGGCACATAAGCTCGTTGCTTTGCTTGTGTATGTGCCGTGCAGTCCTGGAGATTCAATATTCAAAAGTATTAACAGCAATTCATGATGATTACAATACAGGTAAAACCGAGCCAAGTGAGCACCTCGTTCCAAAAAGCCACCCGGTCTTTGCAACCACTTTTCCTTGGCAAAAAAGGGTGTGCAGTGTGCGAGGGTCACATTGGCTTCAGAGAGCACATTTGTTAAAAAAGACCATGTCTTTAGTGCAAAATACCGTTGATCCGCCCCTCTCTAATTTCCGTCCCCTGTCAAATTTCTGCCTGTGAAGCGACATCGGCGTATACAATGAAGTACGGTGTTGAACCGCCGCGTGCACTGCTGTACACAATACGTGCCAGTGCAGGATGAAAAAGTGCACCATCCAGTACACCAAGGCTGATCGTCTGCTGCGTTGTACATTGCACTGCACTTGACAGACTTGATCTAATTCCTCGCCCCCTGCCGAAAAACCAGCTGGAAAGCGACACGGGGCGGGGGCGGATCAGCCGTACTTTAAGGGAAGTAAATTAAGACTCGATCTACAATGGTGGTGTGCAAGAATGTTTGCGTGCAGCTGCCAGATGTAAAGTCTAGGCCAGTTGAAAAACGTCTAACTGTGCACAGTGTGCAGCACTGGCAGAAAACTTACAGCCTTCTCATAGTCCCAGATGTGCACAGCACCATTGAACAAGCTGACCAGAAGCCATGACTCAGTGGGATGCAAATCCGCCGATTTCACTCTGTCAGAACGAGAGGAAAATTTCCTCTGCAGAACACAAATGCACACACACACACACAGACACACACGTGCACACACCACACACGCACGCACACACACACATGCGAACACTCATGCCCATTTCCGAAGCGAATAAGGTACGGCATGTTAGACATAACTTGTGCTGGACTGCCCCATTCAGCGGCTTGATGTCGCTTTTTAGCTTGTAAACGTCTATTTTTGATGTTCTTTTTGATCAACTCACACACACGCGCACCCCCCCCCCCCCCCCGCACATGCACACACACACACACACACATGTGCGCACATACACACACACACACGCACGCACACGCACATACACACACACACGCTCACACACACACACACACACACGCTCACACACGCGCGCACATACACACATACCACATACACACACTCAAATACAGATACTTGCAACAAGACTTAGTACAGATACAGATAAAAGATCAAAAATAAATTCATACCACTAGCATACTACTAGCATCTACAAATAATACAATCAAGCTTGAGACGGTCACACTCAGATGAGAGGGCCACACTCAGACCTCAGCAGACTACTAGCTAGTACTAACTCACCTTTACATCGAGACGGAGTGGCTGTCAGCAAAACAATAAAGACAATGAAGAAATCAAGAAGCCCAAAGTCAATGGTGTGGTCACAGAATGCAACAGCAGCCACTCTAACTTACCATTTTCTTCAGCTACACTCGAAGCAGGCTACTAGTAGATCATTATGGGGTTGTTCAGTGCTTCTCTTTCGATAGTCAGGATTTACTAGGAAATTAGTTGTTCTTTTCCGAACTACAAAAGTACAAACGAAAATCAAAAAATCAAACAATCACTCGACCCATGCCATGGCCAGTCATCGATGCATCAGCACATCAGCGCATGCATGTTTTACGTGCAACGGGTAGCCGGCTAGCGCTAGCGGCGGCGCACTACGTAACGTAGATATCTCATCTAGATCTACGTGCATGTGACACGCGTCATCTCGATCGCCATTATTACCATGGTTGCAGATCAATGACGTCGTATAGATGTCACGATGCATGATAGTGATTTCTACAAATTTAATGATCTCTTTGGGCAAAGTTTGGCCAATACTACTAGTCTCTCTGAGTCTGATTCACCAAACAAACTCGAAACCGCATACTGAGGCTGATATCTGCTAAGCACGGTCACTGAGTGTGCCGGTGTAACCAACTAGCACACATATACATCAAACACTACATATACTATGATCACTTGATGATGTGCCAATATCAACCTATGTGCAACGTAACAGTTGAAGTCCATCATGCGACACAAACACACTTCATACTGTCACAATCCGGTATAAGCAGTCTTCAGCAATAGTCCCTGTTTACAGTCAGAAAATGCCTATTATGGCACGAATAGGACTTGTGACACTGCCGCTCACACATAGGACGTCGATACATACGTATGTACACTGTATATCATGTGCACATTCACATGTCTGAAGGTTTGTGGTTTTTCAATAAAATAAAAAATAAAAAATAAAAAAGGACGTGATTGATACTAAAACGAGCAGTAACTATAAGGACAACCCCGTGCACACTGGGGCGAGAATTGACCGCAGCATTCGTGATGGGCAGGGATTGTCAAATACCGGTTTTGACTCAGCCCATGGTGCCTGACACAGGCATGACACTTTGCATATAACCAGCACTCAGCGCACACCGGAATGATGCCACACCGTTTACAAAGAGACACATCTTTTTTCTTTCTTTCTTTTTATACAACGGGACATGACCAGGCTGCAGGGAGGATGGTGAAAGAAAGAAAAGTGGGATTTTCACATTCAACAACAGTCGTTGGCGTGCAACTTACTCGGCGTGGCCAACCAGGTTTGGTGCCAGGGTGCCACATGACACCAGTGCAATGAAAGCCATAGTTATGTAACTGCATTGCTAGCCATGATTGCGTCAAGGTACTGGGTCGGTTCCAAAGGGAGATTACAAGACAATGGAACATGGAAACTGAAGCCAAGTATGTGAACAGTAGTAAAAAAAAGCCGAAAATCACTAGGGCTTGCAGATCCGAGTAGAAGTATGTTCATTATACATCAAAAGTGTGCAAGTGTCAAAGTGCAACCGACGAAGAGAGAAGCACGATATAGACACCCATTGCAGCAACGACAACTGCCCAAGCAGGTACGTCAGTCTGTACAGTGAAGACAGATTGGAAAAGGCAGAACACAACATGTATGCACACACGCACGCACACACGCACGCACACACACACACGCACGTACACACACACACACACACACACAACTGTAGGCACAAAATGGAGATTCCATCAGCATACGGCCAGTTATGAAATTGACGAAGACGAATTATAAGAAAGATAATGTAGTGAAATGGGCACTGGTGCTGGTGAGTTGCACAAGCATTTGGCCATCAATTAACCTCCAGTGTTACTAACGTTACATCGTACTTTCAGGATCACAACATACAAACTTTCTGACATTACACAAAATGGGGTGAACACTATAACTAACTCTCTGCTTACACGAGAAAATAAACCCAGGCTTATTCGCCTCGGGCTTATTTAGTTATGTTCAACTGTTTACATGACGGCGGTACGGACAGTGGTACGGTGCTGAGTTCAGGTGGATGACCGTGAGTTCAGCGCGGATTTTTCCCAAATTGCACATCCCCACGGCACATCCCCACGGTGGTAAATGATTGTGAATGATGAACATTGGATCAAAAAGTGACTGCTCACGCTTCTACTACCTTTCCCAATATCAATTATTTTTTAAAAGACAAAGCCATCACTGAACGAAAAGTCTGAAGAAGTTTCGCAAGAACAGAAACAAAGACTGACTCTCGGAAGAGGCGAACTGTCTACGACTAAATCCTCTCAGGTTCAAGAGGCAAAATCGAAAAATACAGAAAAAACTCACTGATACGCCCAGGGCTTATTTTCTTGACCGTTTACATGAGAAAATAAGCTCTGGAGGTACGATAAACTCGGGGGTCTGGGGTCGGCCTAGTTCAGCTCGGGGCGAGCTGAAGAAGCCCACCACGTCATGTAAATGCGCGCTGCGAAATAACCGGATCACTGATCAAGGAGGGCTTACCGTAAGCCCAGGCCAGGATTGAACAAGCCCGGGCTTATTTCATGCAAACATCCCTCAGGCCCATTTCTTGTCGACCGGGTATTGAAGTGCCAGCAAGAGTACATACTAGTATACCAGAGTGTGCAGCCATGCATAGTAGTGCAGCCATGCATAGTAGTTCAGCCATGCATAGTAGTTCAGCCATGCATAGTAGTGCAGCCATGCATAGTAGTTCATCCATGCATAGTAGTTCATCCATGCATAGTAGTTCAGCCATGCATAGTAGTGCAGCCATGCATAGTAGTTCAGCTATGCATAGTAGTGCAGCCATGATTGCAGTAGTGCAGCCATGCATAGTAGTTCAGCCTCAGGGCAGCAGAATTCATTGGTTACACCCTTTTGATGAGCCATGGAAGCTGTGATCCAAGAATGAAGCTTTGCACTGCGCCAATGTGACCTGTGGCATCAGCATTTTGCCCTTTGACGTCAAAAATGATCGACTACGCTCCCCCCCCCCCCCCCCCCCCTGCTGCCACCTACTTCAAGTACATGTAGTGTGTTACACACTCTGGTTTATGTATTCGTCGCACTATACGTACATACCCCTCTGTAAACTACAACTTGACGCATCTTCTGGATAATCATGTCATTAGTTTCAGGCCCGCAGGGCTACATGTCCTGGCATGGACCTGTTGGCCTGGAGCCACCCAAGAGGTCTGGGAAAAGACTCTTTTTTTAATTTCATTTTTTTCACGCAAACACAATGAAGTCATGTGCAGTACTTACAGTATCGGCTGGATGTACTGCTTCCGTAATGGCTTGATTGCCTACACAGGCACAAGCCAACACCAATGGGAGAATAATAATAATAATATTCGCGGGATCCGCGTTGGCATCGCTTGAATGTTCAGAAACACACAAACTAGCCTTCGCATCCGCAGGCCACCACTATGCCTATTAACCTTAGTGGCGAATGCAGACCTCACAAGTGAGTCAGGGGAGAGGAGGTTAGTCTCTCAACCAATCGGGCGTGTAACGGCCCATAACCCTGTAAACTGCATCCTTGTTATTCTCACTCCGAGCTGTGAGTACCCAGTTGACCGTGGGTGTCGGCGCAGTTCAGCACGCGTAAAAAGTCTTTTTACACACTCCCTGCTACCAGCACGGGTCTTGAACTCGGGACCTCATGATTCGCAGGCAGGCCTGCAAACCAATCGGCCATATGGGAGAACACACACAAAATAAGACAGCAGAACCATTTATGGAGATGTCACACTCAATGAGTCTCTATTAGACAGGTTGCGCACAACAAAAATTCGTAAGATCTTGACCGTCCGGGTTCGAGTAACGAACGTTGATGCGAAGATTCGTCCAAAAGCGACCGAAACAGAGCAGATCTACGAATCCATATTTCGTTACATAAAAAATTCGACGGGTTCGCGTACCGGGCAGGTCAAGAACAAGGAGTCATACAACTCCCTGGTCAAGAACCACCTTTCCGCTTCCGTGGGACGCCACCACCCCATGATCAGGCGTCAGATGCGGCTCCTAAACGGTGGGGGAGGATAGATCAGATCCACCAACCAGAGGCCAAAGGCCTAAATCCCATTTGCCACATCCATGTTTTACTCATGCCAGGCCACGAGTTCCCAATTAACTGGTGGAATTAACTGTGGGTCGCAGCACGTTACATGGAGAACTATAATACTGATAAATTATAATTTTACAACTCTCTTCGAGAGTGAACCCGACACGTACTGGAATGCGTACCACGAAAAAGTTCACACGTTGTGCACAACCTCGCGGTTTATGAATATTTATAGAAAAGAAAAAAGACCAAGGAACTACAAGTAGTGCTATAATGTCCACTAACACCACCAGTTACTAAACAATCAGCTCCTGCGATAACATTGCACAACACTGACCGACGGTATTGACATTCTACAACTACAGTAAACCTGGTGTAAGCGACCTCTGGGTCTAGTGACCACCTGCTCTTAACAACCGTTTTTCCATGCACCAACAGTTCTACACAGACACTGTAGGACCTGGTTCTAAAGACCACCTGGTTTTAACGACCGCTTTTGCTTGCACCGTGGGGTGGTCGCTTAAACCAGGTTTTACTGCAACTGGCTAACAGCTCTAGCACATCTTGGATGCGCACTCCAACAGCCTTCCAACTTGGAAGGTTCTAAGTTATAATGATAACATAAGATCCACATCTTTGAGCTACATCTTTGAGCCACAAGTTGTGTGGAATGTTGCTTTGGGCCTTGAATCGTGGTTTGACCGTATTGTCCAATGGTCTTGCCAGTATCGTCATCAACATGCATGAACATCCGCCAACGTCCTTCACAGTTGAGACTTTCAGCTTGTGCTTGTCTTGGCTGCGCTCACCTTCCCCTCTTATGTTATTGGGAACACACATGTCTAAAGCGGGATTCACAGAAGCTTTTTTCGTGATGCGATGGGCGATGCGACGCGATCTGCGACGGAGGCTTGCGATGCAAACTCGCGAAATACCGTTCACAGAAGAAGTCAGCGATGCGACGACGCCTTGCGGATTTGGGGCGAAGTTCAATGCAGGTGGGTACGTCACCATGGTATTCGCGTGGCTTGGTAAAACTTATACAAATTTACAGGCAACTCTTGAACCTTTGTGCAACTTTGCTGTAGAAAAGGTCAAAATCGTACGCCAAATCGCTTGTCGCATCGCGAAAGTTGAGTCAAGCTCAACTTCTGCGATAGCCCAGTTGCGGCAGTTGCGTGGGCTGCGAGATGGCTACGATTTGGGGATTTCCCGGTTTCGCGGCCGTTGCATCGCAAAAATGCTTCTGTGAATTCCGCTTTATTCTGGCTGTGAGTTGACCCCTGAGCGATCGCGTAGGCCCTGTATGGATCTAATGATCCGAATGTGGCTCCTCTTTTATAGTTCTATTTTGTTGCTGTACAAACACCGACTTATCTCTAGTTCTTCTTCACATCTTTTCTTATTATTGTTATCTTCGTGAAGACATAAGTTTTCCTGCTCTTTTCCAGTGTAACCTTGTGGTTCAGAAAATGTAACTCATTACTGTACTGAAACTGAATCCAAGAGAGAGATTACAAGAGCCACCTTTCAGTTTTTCTTGTGTGTGACATACTAAACTAGGGCATACTAAGTTGTCACCGCACACATACACACGCACACATGCAGCATAATATCTAGAACAGCACGTAGAAACTCACTCATGGTCATAATCATAATCATATGGCGATGGCGATCGGCCACCACTTCGCCTACTGTCGTCATCATACCGACGCTGACGCTCCCTATGAAGGAATGGAAGTCAAGGCCACAACAAACTACAGTTGCAAGTGCAGCAAGAACATGAACAATTTAGACCAGCAACCGAAAACTCAGCAAACACTCTATAAAAGAAGTTCAAAAAGTGGGCCAACAACAAACAAAACTGAACTGCTCTGTTACCCTGACTGGCGCATGAATGTAGTGTGAGTCAGGGCAGAGTCCAGAGTCGGGGCAGAGTCTGGGCAGAGTCGGGGCAGAGTCAGGGCAGCAGAGTTCACATTACGGCTACCAGGTGAGGACAGAACGTTGACACTCTTAGCAATACGCTTTGAGACATGGTTCTAAACAATCACCATGTGTTCATGTCCCTTTTTTTTACCGTACACTCCAGCCAGCTCCGTGATCCAAAAGCACAGAGAGAGAGAGAGAGAGAGTCAGCAATTACAACTTTTTAGTGTTGCCCATCGTCGTTGGTTCACATGATCGTATTTCATTGAGCAGCACTGTCCTTTGTTGGGGATCGCAGCACTGTCCTTTGTTGGGGATCGCAGCACTGTCCTTGTTGGGGATCGCAGCACTGTCCTTGTTGGGGATCGCAGCACTGTCCTTTGTTGGGGATCGCAGCACTGTCCTTTGTTGGGGATCGCAGCACTGTCCTTTGTTGGGGATCGCCCGTAAAATTCTAAAAAATAATAAATAGATGGTGGGTCAGGTAGAATTCTTGCCATTTTCCGGATTTTCAATTTCAAAAATTACAGGACCATAATTGACCTCACCAGACAGGCAATACATGTATACCGTATTTGATTCAGGTCCCTGGGACATGTATCGGATGGTGTTGACCTAACACTCAGTCAGTTAAAGCTACAACGCATGGATACTACATATTCAACCTTCGGACAGCTACAGTTGTAGCCGTTGCTACCATGTTAGGTCTCATTCATGAATCTAAGAGTGACTGGTCGAACAGATGGCAATGTACAATGCAAATAGGCATGAAGCTCCGGTGAAACACTCACTTTTCACGGTGCTTGCGGGACCTCTCCACCAGCTCATCCATCCGCTCCTGGCAGCAGAAAAGGTGTAAAGTTGCAGCTGTTTATGTACATAGGGAGTACATTATGAACTACATGGATGATAAATCTAGCCTTTCGACCGATTCTGTCAACCGCTGATGCACTGTTTGATTGGACAGACCGTCTCACTTTGGACTTCGATGGACAGCAGACAGCAGTTATATGCAAGGGATAGTGAATAAGACTACAGTAGCAGATGCAGCAACTTTGGTGGTAATCGGCAATGATATAGTTTGTATTGCTGGGGAAACTCACATACTGGTAATTACTATACAAATTCTCCCCACAATACAGACAATATGAATTAGTGGTAGCGACCTCGGTGATAATTATAGGAAAGTGGGATGCTCACAACATATGGCATAAGGACGGACTGAGAAACAACAGTTACTGTCATAGTGCCTCTCCTCCTCCCCTAGCATCAAATAACTGTGAGTAGAAAATAGAAAGGTAGTGATGAAGACTTCAGAATGAACACATGGCTAGCTTAAGTACCTGGCGCTCACTCTCCTCCTTTTCAGCTTTTGATGCCACCTTGGCACGGTCGGTTTTCTCTACAAAGATAACACCATAACTTTGTGAGTAAAATCAGAGGCCTGTACACAATTCCTAGCATTTCACAAGCATCACCATGAGACATGTTTCTATACAAGACATGCATTAGGCAGTAGTTCTCCATAGAACCAGGTTTATATGCGGGGATGAGTATATCCTGTATCGCATCGCAGTTTGCGATGCAAAATCAATCTACTGCTACTCAAAAGTCACCGTGACTTGCAGAAAACTGCGATACATACAGACTATCCATGCCTAGCCTGCGCTGTCAACATGCACACAGTTCAGTGCATGTGCTTCAGGCACTTAATCTGCGTGTACATGTATGATTCAGTCGTTTTTTTTGCAAATGGGCTTTCAGGCATCACTCTCAAGAAGGACAATGTGGTAAACACCCAACCTTCAAAGAAAAATGCTAATTAAAATCAAAGAGTGCTACACAATTGTGATTTTGTATTGCAGAAACTGCTATGCAAAAATGTGACAATAAATTCATCCCTGATATGCCAATAGTCCATGTTGAAAAAATCAGGCCTGTACTCAAGACAAGCTTTAAGATGAGATATACTGTCTTTCACACAAGACAGCACATGAAACACACATGGGGTGCAATCATCAGTCAGTGAGGCAAAACAGCGAAGATATCAAAAGGTCCGAACATCATGTCTGCCACTTTCCACGGCCACACACACGGACAGACACAGACAAACACACACACACACACACACACACACGCACGCACGCACACATACGCACACACAACAAACACAGACACACAGTCACAGGCAGTATTGACATCGAGACATAGTGTATGGCCCGGAAGAGCTGGTCTGAGAAAGTGTACAGAAATGGTTATTGGTAGGACTGATGGACGGCTTCTAGCAGGTGGAAATTACGTATTTCAGGGATGGAGATGGCAAAGAACGAAAGACGAACAACTTTGCTTACGTGTGCGAGCAAGCTGCAGTTGCATTTTCAACTTGAGACGTTCCTGAGGTGTCAGCTTGAGCTGAAGGAAGCACACAGAAAGCACACAGACGTTTCCTTGTGTTACAGCATTGCTAATAACATCTGTTGAAGAACGATTTGGGCGGACACAACAATTCGTGTTTCGTGCAAAAGACACTAGCTGGTTCCTGCTGCAATCCTAGATGGAAATAAAAAGAGCAAGAGCAGCAGCAGCACCATCCACAGGAGACCAGCACAGGAGAGTATAACAATGACACAACAACCTGACTCTGTGCCCTTGACAGGACATTGCCCTGGCTTTACAGACAAAGACATTGGCCTGCTGTTTAGGGACTTTCCCTGGCTTTACAGACAAAGAGATTGGCCTGGTGTTTAGGAACTGAGACAACACTCCAGCACCAACGGCCAGTGTCACATCAGCTCCCAAAACAGTCCCACACTTCCTTCCAGTCTGCCTACCGTCGCCACCAGCTTGTACTGTTGTATACACGTGCAATATGATTGACACTTGGCCGCAGGAAGCAACTGAAGTTGAGTTATGCCAAATCAAAGCCTCTCCTCATCCTCAACAGCTCTTCCAGGAAGCCACCTTCTAAGGAACTAACCACCACCATTAAAGATTCGAAAAGGAGCGGCCGTGGAAGCTTTTTGTCATGAGTAATTTTTAGTTTTGCTTGTGAATGGAGCTTCTTCTTCTGTGTTGTTCTACTCGACTCTAGAAGTTCGACAACAAATGAATGCAGCTGGTACACCTACAGTGTAATCAGACCAACACCAGCTGGAAGCCGGTAGACTTCTCCTACTAGTAGTACCTACAGTGTAATCAGACCAACACCAGCTGGAAGGTAGACTTCTCCTACTAGTACAGCTGTAGTAGGCTGCTGTGCTAGCCGTAGACCGGGTCAACCGCCTAGCCGGATTCCTGCCACGTCCCCAGCTACCACCCTTATAATGATATTGGGCTTATAAAAAGTTATATCATGAAGAGCCAATGGATGGTGAAAACCCGGAACATGATCATGAAGGTCAATACGTGCACAAGTCATTAGTTTCATAACTGCACATACCTTTTCAGTGCCCTGAGAACATAGCGAGATAAACACACACACACACACACACACACACACACACACACACACACACACACACACACACACACACACACACACACACACACACACACACACACACACACACACACACACACACACACACACACACACACACACACACACATGCACACACATGCACACGCACATACACAAGCACATGCACACACACACACACACACACACACACACACACACACACACACACACACACACACACACACACACACACACACACACACACACACACACACACACACATGCACACACACAGACACAAGCATACACACTCATGCACGCACACAGGCACACATATGGAAGGGTCAGGATAAAGTACATAGCAATATGTTTTAGCATGCAATGCACAGAACACAGAGGAATATGATCAGATGCAGCAAGAAACTAACAAAACGAATATACACTAGCATTATCAAGAGTCCATAACCAAGACTATGATTGTAGCTGTGATCTCTTAGACTCTTTTCTAGGGCTGAGTCAGGTAGCATTTTCTTCGGGTATCGGGTCCGGGTAGTTTTCCACGGGTAACACGGGTACCCGATCGGGGTAATGTTTCCATGGTAAGACCACAATGCACACCAGCCCTTCCCTTACACACTGGGTAGACATGCGCGTGAGTTATTTGTACACATGCACTGTAGACCTCTCTCTCTCTTTCTACATGATGTCATCTGCGACTTCGGGTTTTCGGATACGATTCGGTACCTGTCTACCCGAGGTCCTCACGGGTAGCACGGGTACCCGACTACCCGTGCACACAACTACTCTTTTCTATGGGCCAGATGCGCGGCACGCTCGCTTCATTACATCAAGCAGCTATAATTTGAACGCGGTGGAAAAATCAAACACAACACTTTCATGCGGTTTGAAATCAACTTCCTACGGAACTGGAGTTCATGCACCCAAGACTTGGTGATCAGGTCCGTATTCGAACAAATCAAGCAAAAAGGATGTGCTGGTATGAGAGATTACGGCATACTTTTGTTTATGGACTCATGGTATAATGCAGTTACCAGTACCTGCTGTCAAGCAGGATTCACACAAGCATTTTTTTGTGATGTGATGCGCGATGTGGCGCAATCTGCGCCGCCACAGAGCGATGCGCACTCGCAAAATACTATTCACGGAAGAAGTCAGCGATCCAATGACGCCTTGCTGATGTACCTCAAAGATCAATGTGAGGGTGTACGTCAACATGGTATTCGCGTTACAAATCTACAAGCAACTCTTGAACCTTTCGTACAACTTTGCTGCAAAGGTTAAAATCGCACATCGCATTGCATGTTGCCAGTTGCAACTGTTGCGTGATCTGCGCAATGGGTGCAATTTGGGGATTTCCCGGTTTCGCGTCCGTCGCATCGCGCATCACATCGCAAAAATGCTTCCATGAATCCCGCTTAAAAGAGGGCGGGTGGGGAGTGTACTCAGTCTAGGCACCTGACCGTCTAAATCGTCTTTATTCACTGCAAGCACACATGAACTGTCTCTATTCACTGCAAGCACACATGAACTGTCTCTATTCACTGCAAGCACACATGAACTGTCTCTATTCACTGCAAGCACACATGAACTGTCTCTATTCACTGCAAGCACACATGAACTGTCTCTATTCACTGCAAGCACACATAAACTGTCTCTATTCACTGCAAGCACACATAAACTGTCTCTATTCACTGCAAGCACACATAAACTGTCTCTATTCACTGCAAGCATACATAAACTGTCTCTATTCACTGCAAGCACACATAAACTGTCTCTATTCACTGCAAGCACACATAAACTGTCTCTATTCACTGCAAGCACACATAAACTGTCTCTATTCACTGCAAGCACACATAAACTGTCTCTATTCACTGCAAGCACACATAAACTGTCTCTATTCACTGCAAGCACACATGAACTGTCTCTATTCACTGCAAGCATACATAAACTGTCTCTATTCACTGCAAGCACACATAAACTGTCTCTATTCACTGCAAGCACACATAAACTGTCTCTATTCACTGCAAGCACACATGAACTGTCTCTATTCACTGCAAGCATACATAAACTGTCTCTATTCACTGCAAGCACACATAAACTGTCTTTATTCACTGCAAGCACACATAAACTGTCTCTATTCACTGCAAGCATACACAGAGTCTAGCCCAACCAAATAACTAAAGCATGGTACAGAAAGCTGAACTGCACTGCGTTAAAAATCAGATCCGCATGCGGTCAACAGAAAGCAATTGAATTTCCCAAGCTCCCTCTTGCTACCATATCATTATGCTTTGTAAGCATAGTGTGTCAATGTCAGCCAAACATCACAGTCATAATGGTGCAATACACAGTTCTGGTTTGCGTTGCAAGACAATGTCCTCACCTTGCTCTGGATAAGTTTCTTAGCTGCAGCCAAAGCACCAGTATCACTGTGGGATGGGATACATGAGTACACACACATGCACACATGCCCACACACACACACATACACACGTGCCCACACACACACACACACACATCAAAACTCTTGTAGGGAGCAATTGTGCATGAGAGCAAATTTCAGGGTTGGTTCACATGAGGGAATCGTAGTACACAGAGGGGGAGATGACACGGGTGGTTGTAACACTATTATCATGCAGGTTTCAACCCCAAATTGCCTGTTACAGTCATAGCCCTTAGAGTAGGACCAATTTATACACGCTCTCACATTGCATTGTTTGTCTGGGCCGCATTTGGGGTTAGCAGGTCAAGGATGCAACTAGGAGTTGCATATACCACGGATCACATAGAACTTCCAAATCTGGGGTCGAAATGCACATCAGTTCCGGTACTACACTGTATAATCTCGTGTTGTCTCCTTAGCTGCTACAACTCCCTGGTTCACATACGCCAAATAGGGGCAGGAGACACCGGCGGTGGGCCAGCTTACTGTCAGCCCCAATGGCAGCCGGAGGTCACGCGCATACGGTTTGAGTACAATTACAGTAAAAAGAAAAGAAACAGAAGAAGGCTACACGGTAGTACAAACTGATCTTGTACCAGGTCGTCCTTTCCCGATTCAAAGCTCAGCGACGTGTAGTCCAAGAGCTACAGCAGGGCGCTAAACCCTTGTTTCTCCTGTAGTTCATGGGATAGTAATGGCCTCTTTGTGTGATGACCACACAGCAATGTCCCTGACTGGAGATCATGAAGCCGGGGCTCTGCACCCTTCATTGGTAAACAGCAAAACGCTCGAATTAAGCAGGAATTTTTGGGGATAACATTAATAATAAAAAGCCGCAGCTGCATACTTGACTAGTCCAAGCATCATGAAACAAATATGTGTTGGTATGCCCCGAATTTGCAATCTTGACACGACGACAGAATTGATCAACAGAACTGATCATTTGCGTCAAGTTCAGAGAAATTTGGGGAAAGTTGTTCTTTCAAAATTATAACGAAGCGATCACCAGCGTGCATGGCTCACATCATAATTATGTCAATACGGAGGATTAGCAAGACGAAATTCGCGTTCGCAAACATTTTTCAGTTCGCGAACTGGATTGCGAACTTTCGCATTTTTCGTTCGGAAAAGTAGTCGGAACACGAATCGCGGATTCGTGTCAGGGCAGTCATAAATTTACCACGCTGTACTGTCTGTACACAATGTACGTCGTGTCAACGTCATGCATGTGCGAATTCTGTTTGCTAATCCTTCTCATAATGCGAATTCCGTCACTGAGTTCGACTTTCCTTGGAGAGCGAACGCGAACGCGAATTTCGTCTTGCTAATCCTCCGTAATATTGTTCAAAAGTGTGAGGGATAGGTGCTGGGGCATACTGGGAGAGATGACGCTGTCCAACTCTTTCAGCAATGACTACCGGTGATTTACTGTACGATTTTAGTTTGCATTGCACTGATTCAGGTAAGCGTATGCCACGAGAAGAGCCGAAAGAGGCACTGCCAGCCAAAGGTGAGTACTGGCGAGATGGGAGCTGGCCCTAAATGATGTTTGGAAATGGGGATTGTACTCAATCCATGTTACAGCCCTTTGCTGGCCACAGAACATAGGTCATGCATGGCACAAACAGCTGGGTTTCCGATGGCTGATAGTTACTTGTGGATTTCTAGGGGAGTCTTAGTTCCAGCAAGAGTCACGTGAATGAAAGACAAGTTATAGACAACTCCCATGCACGTATTCGGACTGATAGTCCGCAGTCCAAGTGCTCAAAATGTAGCCCTAAAAAATTTCCGTTCGCCACGACGGGGCACCAAGGTTTGATGTGGGGGCCTGAAAGAGGACCCCTTGAGGTACCCAAAACAGTCGAGAACTGCTTCTAGATCTGGGGCGCTCTCACGATAGAGGCGAATTTCTTCGGGGCAAATCCATGCACAAGTTTCGCGGAGCGTAAGTTTGAGCATGCATCAAACCCACTCAAAAGTTTGAAATCTCGCACCCTTGGAGTGCCACGTGGTGCGCTTCAGATGTAAACATGTAGATCTATACCTGGACGGACGGTACTCTGTAGTATTTAGGTTCTAGGTCGATCGGGTGCGCCTCGCCTATGCCATGGGTTCACGTATTTTGGCCATACCAACTGCAGTGATGAGCTCCTAGATCCTGCCGAGTGCTGGCCGGCCTGGTGCTATCTCGTCTGTGCCGGAACCCGAAGCGAATAGAACTCTGAAGTGCATTCACACAATGCCAAGTGCCAAATTTTCTGGCAGCCTGCACGGCATCCGAGGAGTCCGCAGTTCGACGAACAGGACTCACCAATCGCTACGAGCCCCTGTTGTTGAACCAGAAGAAAAAAAATCTGCCTGTTTTGTGGCACGCTGAAACAAATTGGCGAGCTGTACAACCAAGCAGGCGACATCTCAACTCGTGACAGTGGAAGCAGAAAAGAAAATAATTGCGGAACGCTGCTGCCAACCGACAAGATCAAAGGATTATGGCAGCAATCAGTTCAGCGAATCTGATCGCTAGAGAAGTACACTCCCATAAGTCTTGCTATCGTTCATGCACTTGTGCAGAGACTCTCGCTAGGATTGTAGCAAGCAGACAAAAGACGCACATTGCTGACCTCACTGCCTCATCGAATTCCTCTGAGGATGATTTATTCTCTGCTGTAGGCAGTGGACTACTTGATGACTGTGTTCAGAGGTGAAGCCAGGATAGTGATCAAGGTGGTTTCAACGACGTTCCCACACAAAAGTGCATGCCTTCATTTTGGTCCTTTCATGTCGGCCGATATTTATATATTTTGTTATTACACAGACAGAAGAACGTGCAGTTGCTGTTTCGTAACTCTGAGTTTCATGAACTGAATCAATCCGATCAGACGAACATTGATACTGACCTGGGCCTGAGAGTGCTACTAAAATTATACAGTGAATGAGGCAAGCCCAGTGTAACAATTACCATGTGATATGTAGCGCGATATGGGGTGTGTGAGAAAGTGTTAGTTATCTGTGCATTATTACGCGATATTCCGAGTCGTGGAATCAGGTGACAAAACATACTCCATACCGCGCTACATATCACATGGCAATTAGTCCGCGGGGCTTGCCACATTCATGATATATAGCAGTACTCTCAGGGCAGGGTCAGTATCAATCTTCGTCTGATGATCGATTTAGTTCGTGAAACTGAGAGTTACGCAACCGCAACTGCTCATTCTTCTGTCTGTGTATTCCGCTCTTTGCCTTCGGCAAATTGAGCCGTCTACGGACAGTGGATGAACGTCACATGGTATATTTTGTTATCGTGAACACCGCCCTATGGGAGAAACATGTGGAGAACATAACGTGACGGCATAAAACAAGACATTCAAGGCGGATGATGCACATTATAAGGATGATGTGCCGCACTGTGTACCGTACTAACCATTCCAGAATGGCCAATCATCAGAAAAAATAGTCGAGTGCAAGTAAGAACAAGTAAGTCCGAACAGGGATGGCTACAGTGTGCGATGTGTAGAGTTATGGTCCGCGCGTTATGGTCTTTCTTGAACCAGCTGCAAACCAAGATCGAATTCGTTTTTTGGGGGGGGGGGGGGGTGTGCTTTGGCACCCCAAACACCCCTTCGTATGCCCCTGGTGTGGTCGTGTTCGCTGCGGAAGTACAGTTAAAAATAGTTCATTCCCTTTGTTTGACCATACCTGGTCTTTGGGTCACAATATACACAGAGGTTAAATATCAGCATTGTCTAATATTTTGCGGAACTATTTCCCTAGTTCGAAACAAAGTTGATGCCGCATTTCTTTATGTTTAGGTGCTGACACACACACTGCATTTTCAGCCACTCAGCCACTGCATTGCTGTAAACCATTACGTTGACTTGCACTTGAAGTAAATGCACTCCTTCTAAGGCCGACTCCGGTGTGCTTGGCACGGTTTTTTCTAATATCAGTCTTTATACATGTAATTAATTAACTCGTCTCATCAGGTTTCCTTTGTGTATTTTGTTGTCACATGTAATTCTAGAACATAATATTATAATTATTAGTATTATTGCTTTGAACTCATCCGTTATGCGATAGTGTGGTTGTAGGTGCACACTGCAAGGTAGTACATGACATGACAATTGTGTCGCATGTTGTGTCATACTGTGCAGTACTATTTCTCCTCTCTACATGCCTATACTTCATCCAAATTCAGTACAATTGCGTATGCTGGGTCTTCTCAGCCTCTGTGGCTCAAATACAGTTCACAAACATCGGTATGATGCTTGCAATCGCCTCGAAATTCAAATTCATGATCCAGTTGCCATGGCAACGCGTAGAAAAACAATTGTCGCGATTTGGTCAACAAAGCCCCAACACACCTAATCAAGAGACACATGCCTGGAAAGCCCTGCTCTTGCTCTTTCATTTGGTCATGTCAAACCTTGGTGCCCTTTCATGGCGAACGAAAAGTCACAATTCTGCACCCTGGACTGCGGACTATGAAGTATGATAAGCATCAACACAACACAAAAAAAGCGCTTACGTCTGACTTTTGGTTGCTGCACTGCTCCTGTCCGGGCTATGGCGTCGATAGTCACGACCAGGGCTGCGGCTGCGACTGCGACTACGACTTCTATAATGAGATGAGCGGTGGTCATCATAAGTACCACTGCCGCCTCGTCTTGGTGAACGACTATCACGATGATGCCGATGACGCTCGTAACTGCGACTCCTGGAGCGGTGGGACCGGTCACTGCGATCATGACTATCATGGTGTCTGCTACGAGAGGAGTGGTGGTCTATGTAGCGACTACTAGTACTAGTGCTATTGCCACCAGTGTGACGTGATGGCGATCTGCTATGATGTGACCTGCTGCTGCTGGTGTGATGGCGTGAGCTGTCCGGTGAAGAATGGCGACGGTGCTGGTGTGCTGATGACGATGAGGCTGTGGATTGCCTGTATAGTGGCGGGTATATAGTTACCAGCATTGCAGCAACACATCAATCACACAGAACACACAAAAGACAAAGCAGCCAGGAAAATACACAACAGAGAGAGAGAGAGAGAGAGAGAGAGAGAGAGAGAGAGAGAGAGAGAGAGAGAGAGAGAGAGAGAGAGAGAGAGAATACAAAATGTACAGAAACAAACACAACACATACAAGGATAAGAAACTATCCACATACCATAATGGACGAGCTTCCAGAGTCGGTAGTATTTGTGGAAGAATGGTAAGAAACACAGAAAAAGCACAGGAACAAGAACGCAGTTTAGTTCACCCAACCGTGAAAAAGATGCATGTATACTTCTTCACATACGCCATAAAGTTCCATCAAGAGTACAATAAAAACATAAAGTTCCATCAAGAGTACAATAAAAACAAGAGTGTGCAACTTGGCGATCCTTTGGCCCATGCTGAGTGTTTTTATGACACAATGTCATGGTCTAGCACAGTCAGTTGGTTTAAGTTCTGTTGCGGGCGAGTCCATTGCAGCTTTTCGATACTAGGAGTTGCACACTCTTGGTACTGTTGTATGACTATTCACTCCACACCAGACTGTTTGCAGTGTGGCGTGTAGCATATCATGTTTTAAATGACCAACCCTTGCCAAAAAAGCAAACGAAATTTGTGCTCCAGAAGCACCGGAAGTAGTGTTCCTAGAAAAAATCTTATTAGCCTACTTAAGGTGGCGATCTACCTTCGCGGATAGTCCACCGTAAAATACAAACATCTCAGCCAATTCTCTTTGGAATTAGGTCAAATTTTCTGGAGACATTCATTATGTACCAAAGGACAAGGAGCAGCACAAATAGAGGACAGACTCCGCTCATGTCCATTGTTATCGCCGAATCGCGATAATTGGCCGCACCCGCACCTCTTAACCGCAAAATTGAAATATGCATCCATCAAGTAGAAAATAACCAATTGCTACAGTGTTCCTAACATATATTTCTAGGTACTGAATATCAAGAAACAGTTGCAAAGTCCTTTAGATCACAATGTCACAACAAAGCGTTTTGACGCGCGCATCCGCAAAAAAAGTCATGATCGGGTCCACAACCAATGTGAGAACAAGCAATGATAAATGGCTAAACGAAGACATTCACGAACTAGCTGATGCATCACAGAGCTCAGAAATGTATAGGTTTAGGGGTATAGCACCTACCACTTTGCCGCAATCGTGGTAGAAAAATGCGGGATAGGCTAAAAAGTTACCAAAAACACACAAAAAAGGTCTATCCAATTCCAGCCTACCTGCCTACAAATCTTCACATCAGAAGCCATCTGGCTCGTAGGTGACCTCATTTTGGTCTCCTTGATGATTAGTAATGCTCTTCTTCAGTCTTCTTTACTTCTTCCTTGACTTCTTTGTCACTTCCCACAAGTTCCCAGCTCTTCCTGGTTGTATCACAATGGTGTTACTTAGTGCGGTGCCGAGCAGAAACGCGATGCTATCTGGTTTCAGTGTTCAGCTAGAGTCTTCTTTTCTTCTCTAAGGGCTTGTTCAATCAGGATCATTGCAGGCAAAATCAAGTCGGAAACCCAGCCTTCACTGGTGGCCTCTCTCCATGCGTATGGCAATATAGGTGCTGATGAATGAGGCATATCCAGGGTGCAGCCATGCCGTTTCCGTCACACATCACGGCGATCGCATGCGGTTGCAGCACTGCCACTTTGGTAAATTGCCTCAGATCCAGCGTAGCAGATCACATGTCTGCTTCTGAACTCATCTCGGAGAACATGACCACAGATTGAATAGGATCGCGTTGCCGCCACAGGTCTTAGTATATATGGGCAGTAGAATATTGAAAACTATGCAAAGCGTCACTGGCGGTGATGAATTCGGCGCATACTAAATGCAGGCCTGTGGACTTCCAATTTGAAATTGAATTTCTCAGAACTGAATGGACTTCTCTTCTCACCACACACAATCGTCAATGAAATCCCAAGGCAAATATCTGGGTTTGCCTGCTCGCTTAGTAGATCTACGATGGGATGTGGACTGGTACAGCTGACAGCATACTGATTTGACCAGAAATAGCAGAAATCACTCAATATTTCACAGACTAACTCCAGTAGGCTATATTTTGCACTCACTGCCTGACGCCGAAAGAGAGAGAAAAACTAATCACCACAATGGCTAGAACTGTTGTTGACATCGTCATCGTCAGAGTAGTCAGAGTTGGAGATGAAGTTGAAATACGTCTTCGCTTGGCAATTTTTTTGCCAATAAATTTGAACAGCGTCGTCAACGTCAGGGATATTTTCAGCGGATAGATGGATATCGAGAGCTTCTGGCAGTAATATAGGCTGCTTCGGGCATCCAAGACGACGGACAGTACTCATTCCACCCGATCTTGGTGACAGGCGACGACGTGAGACGTCTCCAATAGACTTTCCAAACACAATTGTTTGAATTCTTCACAAATTATCGAATTATTGATTTGCGCATGCGCACTGTGTCCATGATGACGTAATATGTGCGTATTGGTATGGCATGAGTCAGCAGTGGTATTTCTGACGAGCACAGAAAATTTGAACAAAATCCACAAGGATTTACCGTGAAAAGACTGATTTCTACGTTTTCCCCCAAAAAGTTGCAATTGTGCGTGTCAAAGATATGTTACATTCGGTCTTTGCAAGCTCATAGCAGCCATATGGATAAAGCAATCTCACTCAAATTTTCAGAGATGATGTCTGGGATCTATACGAGCAATTTGACACCGAATTGGACGAAATTAGAGCAAGTTGAAAATTTCACAAAATTTTGACCCCTGAAGGTAGATCGCCACCTTAAGTTCAACTGCTGAATAATGAATTCTCCAGAATACGGTGCAGAGAATGATGCTTCTTGTCGACTGTAAGATTCAAAATGCTCCTGGTGTGCCCCTGATGGCAGTCTTGAGTCAGTCAAGTGTCGAGTATTGGGACAGGAAACGCCAGCTTCACCCAGGGAATAAAACCGCATGCACATGAGACTGTACGAGTAGACAATAGTTCATAGGCAGACCACAGCAAGAATCCAGAGGTTATTCAAATCAAATGACATCATCTCGTGAGTGAGAAAGCAGTGCTTGCATATTTGCTGTCAATCAATGCAATCAATGCAAGAGAGAGAGAGAGAGAGAGAGAGAGAGAGAGAGAGAGAGAGAGAGAGAGAGAGAGAGAGAGAGAGAGAGAGAGAGAGAGAGAGAGAGAGAGATGGAGAGAAAGTGTCATCATTGAATAACCTCTGTAGAATGTGTGGCCTCGTACAGTAGCGTTGCAGTGTAGCAACACATGCTATCCAGCAGCTGTAAACTCTATGATTACCAAGCACCATGGACATGGCCATCAGACTAACCAATACAGGCATTGAGGTATCAGCTAAAGCAAACACCCATCAGCACACGCACGCACACACAGCGCAATTACCGACCATGATTTAGCTTCACCGTGCCGCCGCGATGAGGATGAGACACCAGCTGCACCAGCTGATGACGGCAGTGCTGTGGATTTGAGTGCTGCACCAGAGCCAGTGCTGAAGCCAGATATAATCTCAATGCTTGGTGAGGGTGACCGGGATGCTGAGTGTGAGGAGTCAGAGCTATCCGACCTACATGCAGTCAAGTACAGTGTAGAGAGAAACAGTAGTTGACACTTGTCGTATGTGGCACAAGACGAAGGAAACACACCCATCACAATACAGGTGGAATCCTGATAATAACGTGCACTTGAGAATGGACAGTAATTCTTACCGGCCTCATAAGTAACTTCTACTTGCCGTGCATTTCGAATTTTCATGCACACATGGATCTGCTATCTGCGCTCCCGTTTTTAGTGCCGTGTGCAGTCGCGTTGCCCAATGATAAGAATAACACCAATCCTGCGAGAGTGCCCCATTAATGTTAACCAACCCCTTCTAACCTTTCTTTCCAATTCTCACAATTTCTTCCTTGTCCTTTGTCAATGATGTGAGATTTTCAATAAAATCTGATGCCAGCAGTGCCACACCAATACCATGAGTACATAAACCAGAGGCAGAGTGCACAACTCGGCATCGGAGTTGAGACAAAAGCAACCCATCGGCTGATGTCAGTTTGATTTTACCATCAAGTGGTCAAAGACAGCATCCCACTGGATTTTTTTATTCCATTGGTTGCATTCAAATTACCCTGATATCAAAAGTACAAAAACCCCAGGGCGTGAAGCTCCACTATCAGCAATGTCCCTGCAGAAATTCAAGTGGGTGTCATTTTTACCTTAGGCATGATGCAATGCGAGTGTACACACATTCCCAGGCTTACTAAGTTAGTATCCTGGACCAGGGGTGGACAAGGAGCATTGCGTCATAAAAGTGACGTCAACTTGAAATCCTGCCGTGACAGCACTGCATACGTAGTTGCACACTCTGGGGGTTACATACTGTACTCTTGCTGGTATTGACCTGCAAGAATGGGTTATGTACTGTCCTCTTGCTGGTATTGACCACACTCTGGGGGTTATGTACTGTACTCTTGCTGCTATTGACTTGCAAGAATGCTACATTTTCCTATGACCATGTAACCTACATATCATATGTATTTGGAGCAGAACAACAGACCAACCGCAACACGAGAATGCAATTTCTCAGGCAATGACACCTATACTGGCTATACTGGCTATACTGGCTATACTGGCTATACTGGCTATACTGGCTATACTGGCTATAGCGCTGGAATTGTGCTACATATACAGTAAAACCTGTCTATACCGGATACCCTGGCCCTGGTCCTGGCCCTGGTCCAGCGGAATCTATCCTGATACCACAGGATTCCTCGTGATAGAGGGAGATATGCACGATCCACAGTATGCATGTCAAATTGATCAGCATGACGTCATGACGTCATCTGGGTTCTAACTAGGGAGATAAAATACCGGTATGTTACGACTCCCTGGTTCTAACAAAGCGGCGGAGATTCTGCGAAATGAAAACGTACAAACTTTTGTTCAAGGTCATGAAGTGAGAAACTTCGCACGAACTTTCGCAACTTTGGACGCGAAACTACTTGCATGAAACGCCAAGTAACCTTCGTGTGAATTTTTGTGAGATCGCGAGTCAAAGTTCATCGCTTGTTGAGGGTAAAAATAGGACTTGATGCACGAAATTCGTTCCGCATTCCGCGTTCGACAGTACTCCGCTTGAGTTTTCTTTGGCAGCCCGTCCGTGCAGGAAAATTTGTCCGGTCCAGACAGGATTTCGCTTGATCCAGGGTCCGGTAAACCCACGTTCTACTGTACATGTACTTTCAAATAGTCAAACACCTCCATCTTTGCCAGGTTCAGGTCTTGGGAGCACTAACAATGCTGTAAACCCGGAAACCTTTGCGCCCATTTTAGTTTGCGATTTGCAAGCACAGACCAATTTGCACTTGGAATTGTTCGCGATTGGAGTCAATTTCCTCAGTTTCTTTACTACAGTTCTATGCTGAGCGCTTACTTTTGCGATTTTACACCCATCACGAAAACCGCGAAGGATTCCGGATCACAAAGGTATCCGGGTTTACAGCAAGTAAGTGATATTTGTACACAGGCACAAGAATACTTCATCATCTTAATGTGTCAATTCTTGATGTTGTTTGGTTTGCCCATTCAACAACAATTCAAAGCATTCGTCAGCATTTAACGGACAATGCATGCAAAGAAAGTAAGAAAGTGAACAGCCACACTACGATACATGCACGCACGCGCACACGCACACATACACGCACACATACATACATACACACACGCGCACGCACACACGCACACACACACACTGTGCACAAATGCACACATGTAAGCACATACCCATCAGGCCGGAACTCTTCATAGGTGGGACTGGCACGTTGGGCATAGCTAAAATCAAGAAATCACAATCGTACGGTTACAGGAAGGTATACTAGTACATTGTATCCAGGCTGTGGGGAGTGCACGGCTGTGGGGAGTGGGCTGTGGGGAGTGCACGGCTGTGGGGAGTGGGCTGTGGGGAGTGCACGGCTGTGGGGAGTGGGCTGTGGGGAGTGCACGGCTGTGGGGAGTGGGCTGTGGGGAGTGCACGGCTGTGGGGAGTGGGCTGTGGGGAGTGCACGGCTGTGGGGAGTGGGCTGTGGGGAGTGCACGGCTGTGGGGAGTGGGCTGTGGGGAGTGGGCTGTGGGGAGTGCACGGCTGTGGGGAGTGGGCTGTGGGGAGTGGGCTGTGGCCAGTGTGGGCTGTGGGGAGTGCACGGCTGTGGGGAGTGTGGGCTGTGGGGAGTGGGCTGTGGGGAGTGGGCTGTGGGGAGTGGGCTGTGGGGAGTGCACGGCTGTGGGGAGTGGGCTGTGGGGAGTGGGCTGTGGGGAGTGGGCTGTGGCCAGTGTGGGCTGTGGGGAGTGCACGGCTGTGGGGAGTGTGGGCTGTGGGGAGTGGGCTGTGGGGAGTGGGCTGTGGGGAGTGGGCTGTGGGGAGTGCACGGCTGTGGGGAGTGGGCTGTGGGGAGTGGGCTGTGGGGAGTGCACGGCTGTGGGGAGTGGGCTGTGGGGAGTGGGCTGTGGCCAGTGTGGGCTGTGGGGAGTGCACGGCTGTGGGGAGTGTGGGCTGTGGGGAGTGGGCTGTGGGGAGTGGGCTGTGGGGAGTGGGCTGTGGGGAGTGCACGGCTGTGGGGAGTGGGCTGTGGGGAGTGGTGGGCTGTGGCCAGTGTGGGCTGTGGGGAGTGTGGGCATTTATAGATTTTCAACCTCTGTCTTACTGTACATACTGTACATAGTTCTATTGCCACAGTGTGATTGTCTTCTCCAGCGAGTGAATTTTATTAATATTACACTCCTACTCAACAACACAATCATAGTTTGTAAATAATTCACCCAAAAAGTCGGTGCGGCTTATAGTACGATGGTGAAATGAACCGTGAAATACAGGTTAGATGGCTGTATGTTGTGACAAAAAAATCTGGGGCGGCTTATACCCCAGTGCGGTTTATACTCCGGAAAACACGGTAACCACCACCAACCCCCCCCCCCCGGAGCATACAACTGTGCAGCACTTTCTACATTGAGGTTTGTCGCAGCAGAACCCAAACGTTTCTTACGTCAATTGCACATGCTACATGTAGCACCACAAGTGGGTGTGCTGGTGCAACTGGTATGCTTTGTGCACAAGTGAATCATGGTTCTGTACAGTTGTACAATGAGTGTTTCCTGATCACCAGGATGTAGTAAAATACCGGGAGACGACGCGAGCATACACGACCAGTTTGACGATTGCTTCAGAACCGTTTTCACGCGACGGGTGAGAATGGGAGATGATTACAAAACCATGCAGGTGCGCGCGTGGGGAACAATCTGGTTAGCCACTCCATACAAAATAGACAGGATGATGTCATTCACACGATACAAAGTAGATAGGATGGTGTCAATCACACCATACACAGTAGATGTGACGATGTCATTCACTCCACACAAAGTAGATAGGATGATGTCATTCACTCCATACAAAGAAGATAGGGTGATGTCATTCACTCCACACAAAGTAGATAGGGTGATGTCATTCGCTCCATACAAAGCAGATGTCAATGGAATAACCTCTACAGTCTCAAACTCCAGCAACACCCACCATACCTTGGTCGAGACATCAATAGCTGGTCTTTTTCTTTTCGTAGCTCTATCCTCTTTGATCGGTTTTGCCGAGATGCACGGCTCTGGACAACAATGGACAACAGTGAGAAGGAGAATGCTCGGCGATCAGTAAAGAGTCTTGTAATAGCTCATGTAATGCTGCAATGATAGCATACGAATTGCAATGATCTACAGCTACATCAGTGCGTCGTGCCAGCTCAAGTTCACATACCGATATTGCAGCCAGGGCATTGCCCTTTTCTTCAGCTTCCTTAACCACCTTTGCTTCCATCACCTCTGACGTGACCATGCTAAAAACACAACCATAATCCACAACAAGACACTCACATCAAGGTATACATCCTGATAATGCTACATGCATATGTGCACCTCCAGCAGTAGTTCAGCAGCAGCAGCAGCCGCACCAGCAGCCGCACCAGCAGCAGCACCAGCAGCACCAGCACCAGCAGCACCACCACCAGCAGCAGCAGCAGCAACAGCAGCAGCAGCAGCAGCAGCAGCACCAGCAGCAGCATCATCAGCAGCAGCAGCACCAGCAGCACCAGCAGCAGCAACAGCACTGGCAGCAGCACCAGCAGCAGCAGCAGCAGCACCAGCACCAGCAGCAGCAGCAGCAGCAGCAGCACCAGCAGCAGCAGCAGCACCAGCAGCAGCAGCAGCAGCAGCACCAGCACCACCAGCACCACCAGCACCACCACCACCAGCACCACCACCAGCACCACCACCAGCACCACCACCAGCACCACCACCAGCACCACCACCAGCACCACCAGCACCACCAGCACCACCACCATCAGTAGCAGCAGCAACAGTGACAACAGCAGCACTACCTACTCCTCTAAAAATAAAAATAAATTTCACGGTTTGCGTGACTCGGCTAGAGGCCGAGTTTTCCGCATCCGTAGGAACGCCACCACCCTTCAAGGATCAAGGTGCAGATGCAGCTCCTAAAGCAGTGGGAGGTGAGTAGACCCAGGTGCTCGAAGTCCGTACACTTTTACAGTGTGTGTTTGCCGAGCTGAAACTCACACTAGCAATGATCACTTGCCAGAATCCTGCTCGTGGATGGAAGGTATCTTGTCCAAGTTTGTTCTGAGGCCAGGCTCGATTGAACCAGGCCACCTTTCGATCCGATCTGTTTCTCTGGAGTTCGCTGATTTTTCATATCAAATTTTTGTGTCGCAGAGGGTACTCTAAGTCCGTACTGATCAGAGGTGACTCGAAATACACACATATTTCTGCTAATTGCTAACTTGCAATCCCTCGGTTACGACGAAACCACCGAAGGGATATGTTTGGGATGTGCCTCCGCCAGTATTTCTTGCAAAAGCGTAGTTTGTTGCCAAAATGCAAGCTGTTTTTTAGTCGGCTCAGAGAAGAAGCAGCTGCGCTGTGAAAACCGCGGGAAAACAGTGGTGGAGATGCCAGGAGTGTCAACCTTTCTGCAAGGATTGGTGGTTCTCTGTAAATTCTTCTCCTCTGGCCATTGTCAGCTCTAAGCTGGCTCTTGATGATTGAGTGAAGGTCTGTTTGACGCTGTGTCCGTTCGAAATCGGTCTTGGCAAAGTTGATTTTTGCATGAAATGTAACCCAATTTGTATTTCGTATGGACACTCGAAAACCCACTCGCGTGGTATGGGACTTCTGCTTATCGTAGATCCCTGAAAATTGCTACGCGAGGAGAACATACCACAATGTCCCCTCCATAGAATATTTGAGTCGAATACAATAACAGAACATGAAATTATGGGCGTACGAACTTAGGATACCATGTACGGACTTCGAGCACCTGGGTCTACTCCTCTAAGACCCACTTAATTCCAGGATCATTATCAACCTACTGCGAGTCCTTAAATTGTAGTCCTCCTCAAACACGTAATATGGGTAAAATGTAGCGTACACACACACACACACACACACACACACACACACACACACACACACACACACACACACACACACACACACACACACGCTTGCGAACACACACACACAACTCGCGAACACACACATACACACACACACAACACACACACACACACACACAAGCTCATACACACACACACACATACATACACACACACACACACATGCACGCGCGCACACACACACACACACACACACACACACACAACATCACACTTTCGACGCCTCTCGACACAAGAAATTTTTGTAAAGGGCTGCTACAGTACTAGCAGCCTCCAATTTTGGACATCTACCTTTGCTAGAACGGAGGGTGTAGGCTGCAGGTAGTGTGTACAAGTACCCATGCTATACTTTGCTAACTTAGGAGATGATGTTTATACCTGCAATATGCAACTACACTAGAAATTCATATCTAGTTAACAGTACGAATTGCCACAACTGACCTGGTGAAGTTTGACAAGCCGAAAGAGAGGCCAATTCGATTTAATTCAGCATTCTGGCAACCGATAAACCAGCACAGACAGAAGAAACACGGTAAAATAAGGAAAGGAAAGAGAGTTTGTGTAGGTGTGTATTGGAGGGGGTGCAGTGCATAATAGCTTAGTTTGTGTAGGTGTGTATTGGAGGGGTGCAGTGCATAATAGCTTCATTGGCTTCAAGAAAGCCTATAAGCAGATAATATCAACTGACCTAGCACAGCACTGCCCAATGAAATCCGATCAAGCGAGCGAATGCCACGTCGGGCGCTGTGCACAGTGTGCAGGGCGCTGTGCACAGTGTGCAGCCCTAGACCTGCAAACACTGGGATGTGAACTGGTGCAGAACGTAAACTTGATCCACGCCATCGGCTATCATCGAGCAGCACTGTGCTTCACAGAGTGACCCGTGCCATGTGAATACACACAATCTTCACAGAGTGACCCGTGCCATGTGAATACACACAATCTTCACAGAGTGACCCGTGCCATGTGAATACACACAATCTTCACAGAGTGACCCGTGCCATGTGAATACACACAATCTTCACAGAGTGACCCGTGCCATGTGAATACACACAATCTTCACAGAGTGACCCGTGCCATGTGAATACACACAATCTTCACAGAGTGACCCGTGCCATGTGAATACACACAATCTTCACAGAGTGACCCGTGCCATGTGAATACACACAATCTTCACAGAGTGACCCGTGCCATGTGAATACACACAATCTTCACAGAGTGACCCGTGCCATGTGAATACACACAATCTTCACAGAGTGACCCGTGCCATGTGAATACACACAATCTTCACAGAGTGACCCGTGCCATGTGAATACACACAATCTTCACAGAGTGACCCGTGCCATGTGAATACACACAATCTTCACAGAGTGACCCGTGCCATGTGAATACACACAATCTTCACAGAGTGACCCGTGCCATGTGAATACACACAATCTTCACAGAGTGACCCGTGCCATGTGAATACATACAATCTTCCGGCATTCTCAGCCTGACAGGGTTCTTAGGCAAAACGACATAGCTTGACGCTGTGACCTTCTTCAGGCCTTACCTGTGTTGGTTTACCAGGATCAATGTTGATGGGTGGATCTATATAATTAATAGCACGGCACAGCACAGCACACAAACACACACACACACGCACAGACACACACAGACACACACACACACACACATACACGCATACACACACACATACACACACACGCGCGCGCGCGTGCGCAAATGCAGGCACACGTACACACCAATGGAGAAAGCAGTTCGAATTCACGCCCAGAATGGACAATCAACAGACTAATGTAAGAGTTGAATCTCAAACGAGGCACACAGTTTTCTGTTCTAGAAAAATAAAAGACAGGTGTGTGATAGCAGGGATCATTAACTTTTTTCGCAAATCGTTGAACTTTCAACCTTTACAGTACATGCATTTGTGTACCTCGTTCACCACTACCATTTGACATAATTATAATTATTATATGGAAAAATAAGGCGGACAAATCCTCACTAAAAAAAGAAGCATGCCACTACATCACATGTATTTACATGTACTCTATATAGAAACGGGAAACACAGAAAAATTGCAACAGGACTTCCTCTCTTCATACAGTACACAAATTATTAAACTCTAGAAACGCAGACTACAATCTTGCCTCTATCTCGAAGAACACCGTCCTCGTCACTGCTATCCCCACCATCACCACCACCACCACCACCACCATCAGCAGGAGGCGCAGAGCCTGCTGCTCCGGAACTATTCTCATCTGTCTTGCCGATCAGTCTGGCTAGCTCGGCTGCAGCT